TATATGGTTAAAATTTGAGCTTATTTAGATCAATAGTTATCGAGATATTCATTGTCAAAGTTTGAGTAAAAATAATATATAGTTATTGGATGCGAAGTAGCTAATAACTCGAATTATTTGTAAAATAATTCATTAGGAGTTATTGGCTAGTGTAGCATACAATAATGGAATTATCTGGTATCTTATGACAATTGTGCTTCTAAATGATTCGAGTTTTGGCAGTGATTACATAAACTGCCAAATAACGAAGTTATTTGGCAGATGACATATCACTGTCAAATAACTCAAGTTATTTTGGCAGCACAATCATAATAAGTTGCTGGATAATAAATTTTATTTTATTTATATTTTAAATTTTTCTAAAATTTTAATTAAAAATATTTTTACAAGTCTATAGAATTTAAATAAAAAATTATTATTATTTTGTAATTCTAATGGGGTATTTTTATTAGTAAATTTACAAAAAAACTTTTTTAAAAAATGTGATAGTGATAGTTTTATGATTGTGATTATATAAAGGTATTTTTAATAATAAAAAAAATGACTGTAAAAATTGTGTGATTATATAGAGTTTGTGATTGTATAGGAGGTGATTATATGGGAGGACAACTGTATAAAAAAGTTTTTTATACCTTTACTCTTATCTTATATCACTACATTTGGTATTGCTTATTCTGGTATTACTGTTATTGCTCACCTTGCACTATTATTACTGTATTGCTCACCTTGTATCTGGATTTACTGTATTGCTTATCTTGTAACGCTTTAAAAAAAAATGCCCAAAGTAAGATTTTAAATTAAGTAAATAAAAAAAAAATTATAACAATAATATTTATTTATTTATTTATTATTATTTTTTTTAAACAAAAGACATCTAAAACAAATATTGGAAGCTTTAAACCTTCTAGTGAAGAGATACAGCATATAAAAAATTCTATGGTTCTAGAAAATACAAGAAAGGCAATTGATAACTAAGTATAAATGTTAAATAATTGGCACAAGAATGTTGGTTATGAGTATTCAATTGAAACTATTCAAAATAAACTACAACTTGAACAAGAAATGATTAAGTTTGTGTGTGGTGTATAAAAATTAAAAGATGGAGAGGAATATACATTTTCATTATTACGCAATGCAATTAATTGTCTTGCAATACATCTTTTAGATAATTATTTAAATGTTAATAAATATAACTTGGCCAGTAAACAAGAATTTAGAAATTTATAGAAGATGCTGGATAGTAAAATGAAGCAGCTTAAGAAAATAGGAAAAGTTGCCCAACATCATGACCCATTAACAACTACAAAAATTCAAACAATATTTGCACATGAAGCAACATCAATTTCTCATCCACAGGGTTTGCAGTATCATATATTTATGTAGTGCTGTTTGTTGTTTGCTCCCCAGAGTGGTAAGCATGGTAAAATGCGTGTATCTCAATTCGTTTTTACTTCAAATGGTGGTTTACAATTTACAAAATTCTTACAAAAAAATGATCAAGGTGGCATTAATGGCAACTTAGATTCATTAACTATCTTAGTGCCACCTGATCCTGAAAATTTACTTGGTCCTATACATGATATAAAACTATACATTGAATGTCGGCCAACTAATTTTACTTGTGATTATTTACATTTAAAATTAAACAAGCATTCAAAAGGTAGATTTGAAATTTTTTATTTAAAAAAATAAATAAATAAATAAAAAAACTAACTATAAACTCTACCTATTGTTAAAAATGAATAGTATCTCAATTTAAAACTTGGAACTAAAACTTGTGGCAATCTTATGAAAAGCATTTGTAACACAGTTGGTATTAACATTTAAGGCCAAGATATAGTTAATCATTTGGGTCATACAACTCCAATTACTTCTCTTTATTAGGCTGGTGTGCTGATTATTATCTTAATGGCAATCATGGGACATAAAAGTGAATTGTCCTTTAGAATTTATTCAAGACTATCAGATAAGCAAAAAGAAGATGCATTGGCTTTTTTAATTAAAACTGCAGAAAAATTACCATCAAATAAAGTAAATTATCTAGTTAAATATCAATTAATTATTAGTGTTTTATTTGTTAATTAATTAACATTCAATTTATAGAAAAAATCTAAAAAATCACACTTATCTTAGAAAAAGGTATCAACAAAAGCTTCATCTCAAGAATTAGCATCGTCTGAAGAATTAACATCATCAGCATCATCCAAAGAATTAGCATTATCTGAAGAATCAACCTTGTACAAAGAATTAACCTTGCATGAAAAATTAGTCTTGCATGAAAAATTAGAAGCATCTTACAAATCAATATTAACATCACAATTACCATTTTCAAATAAATTTAATATACCTTTTAAAGATTCTACATGACCAAATTTACCCTTACATTCTAATGCATTTATTAAAAATCTAATATTAGGTTGTGTTTGAAGATTGAAAAAAGAAAACTACAATTATCAATAATTATTATAATATTACTGCTGATTCTGTAGCTTTTATTTTTTTTTTTTAAATTCGGCAGTTTTGCCAATACTGTTTATTAGTACGCTAAGGTATTTGGTTACAAATGTCACATGTACAATTACAACTCTCTAATGTTTTACGAGATATTAGCTCACCCAGTTACTAAATTAGTATCTATGTGCGACCTGCTATATGAGATTTTACCTTCCTAATAACCGCCCTGCAACTAGACCAGTTACTAAATTACCAGTTTTGTAACTTTTAATTAGCCTAGAATAGCAAAACATTATTAGTATAATATGTATTAATTATATTAAAAAATTATGATTTGAATACTTAAATTTTTAAAGAATTTGAATATTTTATTCTGTTTCAATAGAATTTTAAAGCTCTAGTAATGTTGCATTATATCTAACAGAATTTTAAAGTACCCAATGATCTAGTAATATTGCATTACCTTCAATAGAATTTTAAAGAACTCAAAAATCTAGTAATGTCATGTTACTTTTAATAGAATTTTAAAGAACTCAAAGATCTAGTAATGCTGCATTACCTTCAATAGAATTTTAAAGTACTTGAAGATCTAGTAATGTTGCATTACCTTCAATAGAATTTTAAAGAACCCAAAGATCTAATAATGTTGTGTTACCTTCAATAGAATTTTAAAGAACTTAAAAATTTAGTAATGCCACTTTACATTTAACAGAATTTAAAGCATTCAAAGATCTAGTAATATCACATTCATTACCTTCAATAGAATTTTAAAGAACCCAAAGATCTAATAATGTCACATTACCTTTAATAGAATTTTAAAGAACTCAAAGATTTAGCTAATAATGTCACATTACCTTCAATAGAATTTTAAAAAACTTAAAGATTTAGTAATGTCGCATTATATTTAACAGAATTTTAAAGTATTCAAAGATCTAGTGATGTTGCATTACCTTAAATAGAATTTTAAAGAACCCAAAGATCTAACAATGTCATGTTACCTTCAATAGAATTCAAAGATTTAGTAATGCTGCATTATATTTAACAAAATTTTAAAGTACCCAAAGATCTAGTAATGTTGTATTACCTTTAATAGAATTTTAAAGAACCCAAAGATCTAGTAATGTCGCATTACCTTCAATAGAATTTTAAAGTACCTGAAGATTTAGTAATGTTGTATTACCTTCAATAGAATTTTAAAGAACTCGAAGATCTAGTAATGTCGCATTACCTTCAACAGAATTCTAAAGTATTCAAAGATCTAGTAATATTGCGTTACTTTCAATAGAATTTTAAAAAACTGAAGATCTAATAATGCCACATTATCTTCAATAGAATTTTAAAGTACTTTTAGATCTAGTAATGTCGCATTATCTTCAACAGAATTTTAAAGTACTCAAAGATCTAGTAATGTTGCATTACCTTCAATATTAAAAAACTCAAAGCTCTAGTTCTGTTCAATAGAATCCTAATATTGTGTTACATTCACAGGTCGAAAGATAAAAAATCAGGTACCCGATTTTAAACTGATTACTACCTGATTACCACCTGATTTATGCATATTTTTGTACCAAATTTTTGGTACAAAAATATGCATAAATCAGGTGGTAATCAGGTAGTAATCAGTTTAAAATCAGGTACCTGATTTGTGTCTGATTTTTTATCTTTCGACCTGTGATTATAATTTTAAGGATCCGATATGTTTTAAATTTGCCAAATAACAAGTTGATTGCATGAGTTTATTTGAGCTTATTTGGCATATAACACCTGTTATACAACCTACATTTATTATGAAAAAAAAATAATAAAGAATACTGAAAAACTGACTTTTTTTACAAAACCTATATGTGCTGCAACTTGTAGATCCTTAATTAAATCATTATGAATTTTCTGACATTACATTTGGCCAATAACAGATAAAATCCAAAATTGTTTATATGTAAAAATGGACCCTTTTAATACAAAACACCTAGCGTAAATTGTCTAAACTTATACAATTTCAGAGATTTTTTATTGTTCAAGCAATGAAAAATCTCTGAAATCGCATTTGTATTGGAATGAACGTGATTTCTATAGTTAGTAATTTATGTATTAGAATGAATGGTTTCTATAGTGATTTGCTGTAAAAAACTCTTACAGATTATCATAATTAAAGTCAAAAATATTAGTAAAATATCAGTATCTGATATATGACTTTTATTACACAGCTTCTAATTGTTTACCCATGACCTTTTTTATTTATATTCTCATGGTTTAATATTAGTCCACCATGAAAATATCAACTGTGAGAATATCAGTAAAAAAAAGTTATGGGTGAAAATTAGAATCTGTGAAATAAGCAATAGTTATTACACGTTTTATTATAGATATCATTAAACATCACAGATTAATTAAGATATTATTCATTATTGCGGCTGTGCCACAATGATGAATAATATCGAGATTGATTCAGGATTTTAATAATATCTATGATAAATATATAATAACTATAACATATTTAATATAAAGCTAGCATATATTTTATAATTTTTAATATACTAATAAGCTAGCTTTAGGTTCATATATATTACATATAAATTACATATTAGATACTAATTTTTACTGATATTTTTGATTTTAACTAGTGTATTGTGGGCCATAAACGGTGATTAATTTATTATTTTACTTTTTTTTTAAGCTGCTAAAGCTTATATTATACTTACAGTCCCTCAACTAACTTACATGCTTCCGCTGCCTATGTATCTTCTGGCTTAATTTTTAATAATTTCTTCAAGTCAGCAATTGATTTATTATGCCTTTTCATTATACAATTGATTTCACTTTAATATCTTAGTGTTATTGTATTATCTGGTTTAGTTTTTAGCAATCTAGTTAAATCTTCAAATTCTTTATTATATTTGCCCATAATAAAATATAATACACATCACTCTAGTTATAGTAAAATCTTTCTATACCGATATTTTTTTCAAAAATTTTAATATAAAATGTCGGTATAACTCACTATATCGACATTTTGAATTTTTTTACTAATGTCTCAAAAATGTCAATATAACCAGAGTGGCGTGTATCCCTCGGAAGCTTAATTCAAATGCATTTTTTGGTTCTTTCTCTAGTGATTTTGTTAATTAATCAGTTAAATTAGCAAGCATATTTTCATGTCCACCCAAAATAAATCCTTTCATTATATTTCAATATTAATGCATTATTTGATTTTTTACTAATGTCTTTATTAGTAGAGGTGTGGCAACTTAGTGTAGTGGTCTAGTCGTTACCCTCTCCAAGTGGCAGGTCTAGAGTTCAAATTCCATGGACGACAAATTTTGAAAAATAGTCTGTGTTACGGTTTACGGTTGTCAATTATTGGTTGGATCTAGAAATCTGTAATCTCGGTCATACCATCTAGTTATGAGAGCTTTGG